ACTGTTCATCTAACCTCTCGTTCAAAATCGATTAAAATCTGAACTAGCCCTCAATTGGTGGCCAGTCAATAAGCAGAATGGTCTAAGAACAGAAAGGGTCCAAGAGCAGAGAAACAGAAAATTTTTAGCTTTTATAAGCTTATACACTGATAGGTAATTTAAGTATAGTAATAGTCAATATTACCAAAGAAACTAATATTTTTTGCCTAATTTGAGTAATGTAATCAAGATAATGTTGATGATGATCTTTTTTTGGTAATGTTGATGATTTTGATGAATTTTTTTATCAATTTACCCGTATGAATTGGTAAAAGCTAACATTTTTCTGTTTTTCTGCTCTTGGACCCATTCTGCTCTTAGACCATGCTGCTTATTGCTCCGCATCCCCCTCAAATGCTCAAAGTCATGTTCTGCAGGCCATGTTTAAAACAAAAAAGTTTTAACAATTTTTTTTACCGCAATGAATTTAGAAAAGTAATTTATCTCCGATTTTTTTTGCAAAGCTCTGGGAGTTTGAAAAATGCCAATTTGGCCATGCTCAGGATCAAGTTACGCGCCCTTTGAAGATTTTATTCATAATGCTGAATACAATATAAAATGATTGGATTTGCTCCTAATAACAAAAATTATGGTAACTAAACTTCGTTCCACCAATTTGGAACGATTTCTAGGACGGATTAAATCTCCGCTCACAAGTTAATAGCGCAAAATATATCGTGCGTCAATTGTCCTAAAAAACCAAATGGCAATCTTCAAACCAAATATAACTTTACAAAAAAAGATTACAGGTGAAGTATATTTTTTCAAATTTAAGCTCAGGATAAGAATACCTTTTGAATGATATTTAAAAAATTCCGTCAAAATGGCTAGTTAAAAAGTCAAATTTAGACTAAGCAAAACCACCCCGAGCTTAAAAATTCCGCTACTTTAGTTACGAAAATCAAAACAATAATACTTGGAACAGCACAAGATTAAATTACCTCGGTATGACCTCAATTGAATTTGAGCGAGAGCGTTAATAGAAAACTGAAAATACTACGAGCTCTGGCCATCCCAAATTTGCAAGTTTAAATACAAAATTTTAAGTAAATTGGTTGCAAAACAGGTGAAACGTATAATTTCCGATTAATCAAAACGCTAGAGCACTGGGATCTTTCTAGCTACCTTCTCTTTTTTTAAAAAAAAAACGAGAGAAATTCGTTACTTGGTACAAAATTCGCGTATGCTTAACCAATAAGTAATTTCATTAATAGGAAGGTAATTCGCTACTAAGTGCCAAAGGGGGTATAGTTAACGAGAGCCAAACAAAAAAAATATTTCAACGAGAAATTTAACAACACAACTTGATAATGTTAAAGTTCCATAGCCGAATGATGAGTCAAAGCGTGTTTGCTAATGCTTGATAGATGAACGTTTCATAATGAAAATCGCAGTCTTCAATGGCAGCAGTTTAGTTTTATATTTAGTAGCAAAAAATTTGGACAGACAGAATTCAGTAAAATGAGCAATCAGTGCTTTTTGACGCTTTTTGCATGCAAAATCTGAAGCCGAACAACCTTAAATTTTTTGTAAGACCAAATTCAGAAAGAGTTAGCAAAATTAGTTAAAACAACAAAAAAATTAGTTAACAAAATTTAGTTAACAACAAAAATTAGTTAAAAACAAAAAACAACAAAAAAACCGATTAGGCCGCCCAAAAAAAACAAACGGAAGTGAAGATGATCAAATCATTCAAAATTCGAAAGAGTTAGCAAAATCAGTTTAGTTTTATATTTAGTAGCAAAAAGTTCGGACAGACAGAATTAATTAAAATGAGCAATTAATGCTTTTTGACGCTTTTTTGCATGCAAAATCTGAAGCCGAACAACCTTGAATTTTTTGTCAGACCAAATTCAGAAAGAGTTAGCACAATTACTTAAAACAACAAAAAAATTAGTTAACAAAAAACAGTTAACAACAATCAGTGCTTTTTGACGCTTTTTTGCATGCAAAATCTGAAGCCGAACAACCTTGAATTTTTTGTCAGACCATATTCAGAAAGAGTTAGCAAAAATAGTTAACAAAAACAACCAAACAATAAAAAAACCGAGTTGGCCGCCCAAAAAAAACAAACGGAAGTGAAGATGATCAAATCATTCAAAATTTGGAAGCTAATCGCAGAAAAACAGTCACCCTGAGCAATAATTTTTCAGTTTCAAGGTTTACTATTCAACGCTTCGGATGCAATTGCCCGCCGATGTTTTGGGTTTTGAGCGAAACTCTGCTTTATGAACTTTCGACATTGTTTATTACAGTTTTAATTTCCGTTGATGTTTAGACAGTTGTTCTTTTTAATTAATTCTGTCTGTCCGAACTTTTTGCTACTCTCTATAAGTCATTTTGTCACTATGACACTGCAAAATTAATCTCGAAAACGAATTCAAAGTTAATTCTTTTGATCCGAAATTTAAAAAAAAAAATGGACAGAACATTTCTGCTCGCGTTGGTTTTTGCCTCCAAGTTTTCAACGTTTTAACTAGTCTTCTTTGACATAACTTTTAAAATACAGTCAGTAAGATATAATACCAAAACTAGAAACGTGATGATACGCTGATCTTCGCACCACTAGCGATGAAAAAACACCAAAGTACAAAAGATAATAAGCCTTAAGGCTTAAAGGAGAAATTAAAAAAATAGACTTGTTAAAAAAAGGCGTGGTCTAAAAGATCAAACAATCTATATACAATTCTTTTCAAAATCAATTTTTTAAAACAAAAAAGACAGAAATAAGAAACCGTAGGCTAAAAGATCAAATAAATCTCATTGCGTTCCTTATAGAAATCAACTACCTACTGAAAATCCTGTGTAAACTCAAAAACGATGCAGTAATTCAAACAACCAAACAAATTGCAAGACTTTCAGAAGCTCTCGGTATGCGAAAAAGCTCTATCTCTTGCTGGCTATGCGCTAATAGCAATTGGTTGCAAAATTGAATCAAACTGAAAGAACAAAACTCAAAAAAGAAATTCGAAAGCATTAATGAGTTACCGGGAAAAAAAACTTACAGAAAATCTAAACGAAAATTTTTAAGCGTTAAATTAAAACGCTGCCTTATTAAAATAATAGGCATCACTAGGTTAAATTAAACTAAATCAATGCACTGTAAGAACTAACAAAAAACAAAGAAACCACGCTTACCAAAACAAACCAAAAAAGTAAATGCAAAAAAATTCTAACAAGCATGAAAAACGGAAACCCATTAACAAGTATTACCTTTTTTAAAATAAAATAAATAGAAAAGTGTTAGTAAAATACCCGGCAATTAAGTTGACAAAAAAGAAGGACAAAATCAATAACTTTTAGTTTCAGACCCAATATTGCTTCAGCAGCTCTAGGTCCAGAACTACAGCTGTTAAATGTTAAACTTGGCCGGAACTTGAAGTTGGAGATCCTTTGAATAAATTTATATAGGGGGTGATAATTCTAGTACCGGATTGGAATACCCAGGCTTATTGCAAGTGTTAAAATTATATTTCACTTGTGATCAATTTTGCAAAAAAAAATAGGGTTTTGAAATTAGAATTACTTTGACGACTATAATTCAAATTTTGATATTTGAAAAAAGTGCAATACATTACGTTCATTAGAACATAGGCAGCAATTTCAAATTCAAAAGTTCCAAATCGAACTCTCAAACAATTTGCTTTCATAAGGGTAAACAATCTATTTAAACGGCATGTGGGGAGATACAGAAAACTATATTCAAAAAATTTAGGAATTAAGTTTTTGATTGACGTTAAAGGGCAGTCGAAACATTCGAAGTTTTGACTTGAAACGAGCAGTCTTGCTTCGAAACGAAACTTTTTTTCACACCCGAGTCGAGGTTTACAGCCCAAAATTAAGCAAAATTTGAGCGGTTTAAGCGTTTTTTAGACGTTTGCGCTCAAAACCTTGCTTCAGAATGAACGGTTTTTCAAAAAAATTTTGAACACTTTTTATTTTCTTTTTGAGGCGCAATGAACCGTGGCGATTGTGTTTTGGGCACTGAAATAAGGAATACATCAGGAAAGAATTTTTGGGATACAATTTCAAAAAACGCGCAAGACTTGAGCAGTTGTTGCAAGGATTTGAGCAGTTTTGCGCGATTTTAAACAGTTTGATTGCTTCTTGCGAAAATGTGAGCGGTTAGTGCAATCGTCTAAAAAAATCATTCAAATCTTGATCGATTTTTGAGCGGGATCTGGGCTATGGCAACGAAATAATAACAAAAAAGAGTTGTCCTTAGCAATTAAAAGACTGTTAAGTTAAAAATTTTGACGTTAACTTATCAATCGATTTATTACAAAAATATCTACAGAATTATTTTTGCTATAGAAGATTTCTTGAGATTCTTTTTTTTGAAGGAGGGATGCAGTCGTTTTTTTTAAATTTGAGAGTGATTTCAGTACTTTTTGACAGTTTTGAGCAAAAACAAGTTGAACTGAATATTTCCCCTTGTTGTGTGAAAACATGAGTTCGGATTTCCTCAAATCTACCAAGCTTAACTCGAGGGCGCTGTATATTAAACATACTTCGTAACACTTCACCGTGGAAGTAACACTCGTAACACTCCTTGAATTTCAATTTAAATCGATAGATTTTTTGCTGAAATTAACCCAAATTGAGAAAACTGGCTCAAGTTTATATTTTATAGTTAAAGTATAAAATGGTCGAAATGATTGCGTTTTTCCGTGCCATCGCCTTCATAGTTGGAGAGCGGAATTTGCCTACCTTTTGAAAAATGAAATTGAACTGAAGTAAGAAAGTGCACATATACACAAGGATAGCCCGTTGCTGTGCAAGAAGCACAGAATATTCCGACCATATTCATAAAAAAACATTAGGCTCCTATTTAAAAGCGAGTATGAAAATCCAAACAATAAAAAAACTGAGCCAAAAAAGGTTAAAGGTTTACAGGTAATTTTGCGCTGATGATTGCCAATTCTATGTCTCGTGACTGTATAGACCTTGATGAAAAAAACTTCATACAAAAATAATTAATCAAACTCTGATATGATTGAGGTTAAACAATTACAACATCTATCTAATAACTCCAATTTTAAGTAATTTGATATCTAATTTAAAATCAGGCTAACTAAAAAAGCCACTGGCTGGATTTTTTTCATATTTCGAAAAATTAACCTGAAGATAATAAATATTTTTTTAAGATTTATGGAATTCGGCAATAAGTATTCAAAACAAAATTCAATCAAACCAAAAAAAATCAGCGATTAACGTATTGACAAAACATCAGGTCACTAACTATTTTAACAAAACGGCTTCGATGGTTTAGCTCTTCTGTTGGACAGTTCCGCCAGCATGACCAGTCAGGTTTATTATTTTACAAGGCACCTCATATCCTTTTTAAAAAACATAACAACAGTTAGTCACGCAGAGATTAACGCAGTGATGTTTTAAGCTTACACTATGCAATCATTTTAGTACACTATAAATCAAAGAATGATATTCTCATCAATTCCTTCATGTAACGCAAAAACCTATAAAGGTTGGAACTAAATTTCTCGGTCGAGAAAAACTTTTGCTTGTCACTTGAGCTGTAGTTGCCTTTTAAACAGTTTCTCTACTAAACGGATATCATTAAATCACCTCAGTTTTCAATATTATGTTCTTTTTCCTGGATTCCTTCGTTATTTTCTGATGGTATGACTGCTCTCAAGGTCTGAATGCAGGCAACAGGGGGTCGTTATCTTCTGACATTTCATTATCTTCATCTTCACTGTCGTACTCTCTCTGGAAGTGAGCGTCTGTGGCCTTCGGTCTTCCTCTGGCACATCGGAACACCAGTCCGGCCAGGAATATGGACACGAAGAGCCAGTTGGACCAGTAGTAGATGGCTCCAAACACCCACATTTTGTAGAAATAGGCCAGCAGGAAGTCAGCATTCGCCGTTTTCACACACTCTTCTAAACGCGACAAAATCGTGGAATTGGCATGCAACTTAATCCACACAGTCGAGGCGAAGCTACGCAAAAGATGTATATATATAAAAACGAACAATTATATTGAAAATATACCTAGGCGAAGCGAGATTCCCACCGATTGCGATACAATATAAACATAAAAAAAAACTAAGAATCGAAAAAACAAACAAAAAACAGTACGAAATCGAAAAAAAAACTAACAAATATCGAAAAAAAACTAGTTATATCAAACATTTTATATGTTTGTCTCGATAAATGGTCATTCTAGGAAAATCATGCCAAGAAAGAAAACTGTAAATGAAATTAAATTGAAATTGTAAGTTCTTTGGGCTGACATCAGTTTGGCCGAAAAAAAGTTTAATAAAAAAACTTCGAAAAGTTTTAGTTCGCCCCCGAAATTATTTATGAAAAACACTTGCAGGAACAAAGAAACTTACTTACAGCGAATGAAAAATCCGCGATGAGGCAAGTAAACCTGACAAAACAAGCAGACAAGTGAAAGTCCGACCATTCAATTTTGCCCGAAAAGAATTTTCAAATTCATACATACTGAAAAAAGGTACGACTGGGACTCGAACCCTAAGCTTTAAGCGCAAAGGCAACCGCCATACTTCTAGGTTTAGTGGAAAGGAGCCTGAAAGTGGTCAATAATTCATTTTCTAACAGATTTGTAAGAAAAGTTGTTTAAGGGGAAAAAGTCTAGTTACCGATTACAAGAAACTTGCTCTCGCAAGTATAATAAAATATTGAAGCAAAATTCAATTATTTCGCAAAGTTCACCTGATGAAAAATTGAAAATGAGCAGCTTATGATAGTCATAGATTCTATTGCAACATTTTGAGGAATTCAACAACGCTGAAAAATCATTAGCAAAAACAAAGAACGAACTCTTCTTAAAACTTATGAATCATGAAAAAAATGAATTCGTATTAGAGCTTCAAACGTTATCTGTGTGCACCACTACAGAAATTTAGAAGATGAAGAGCGAGAAATAAACCGTCAGAATTTCAAACTTTAAGACTAAACAAAAAGCAGCAATGAAAAAAAAACTTCTCCAAACTTGGTCCAATTGTCAAACACTTCGGTTATATTTCAAGTCAGCTCAGTCTCAATGGTTAGAGAAAAAGATCCACCTAGATAGAAGCCCAATAAAATTGCATCAAACGTAAAAAGTTTTGAAAAACAAATAGTCGCTTCGGAATCGAAGCTCATTCCACGGACATGAAAGTTTTCAAGTCGACTAATCTACCAAACTCCGCCACTGACGCTTTAAGACACAAGTCACTAGTAAATTGAAGACTACTCGCTATTAAACTGCCAAAACTATGCAACAAAAGTGCTACCAGAATGAGCAATTTATTCGCGTGCTGGAAATCAAATAGTGCACTTCAGACAATGACACTACGCTGACTAGTGTAATAACACGAACAATAAATCCAGAAACCTGTAGAACAAATCAATTAATCATGGAACTACCTGCACAGTAAGAAAATTAAAAATGGCATTCGATAATAGTAAAGAAAACACGAGCACTCCAGAAAAACACGATACTCCAAAAATGCATTTTTCAAGCTGATATTATCATACTTGTAAAACGTATATATCCCGAGGACGCAAATCCAGGTCTTTTTCGTCCTAAGAATCGCGTTACATCTGGCTCAAATGCGCATACACAGTCATTGAAGTAGAATTTATTACAGACCAAATTGACGTTCATGAGTTAATTCTCTCAACATAGCTAACAGACAACTGGAAGAGTCAATGAAAGCAAGGAAACAAAAAAAAGTAACATGTTTTTTGAAAGAAAAACTTCTAACTCTTTGATTCTCAACAACAAATTATAATTGAAACTTTTACAATGAATATAACCCAATTTAAGAAAACTAACTGGATCGATAGGTATTTTTTTCCGCTGGCAAGTCGATCACGTTTTTTGTAACTTTACACTTTGGCTGTTCGGTAGAAGCGTTTGCGTTTCATTTTGTCAAACTATACTTATGTTTCAAAACTTTTTTAATACAAAACTAAATGTCATGTATTAAGGAAACTAATACACACAATTCCATTCAATTTATATAAAACTTTAAAAAAATTTGCGATTTGCATACCTGGTTTGGGATGGTCTGCACATTTAACTGATTTGGTTCCATTCACTGTAGCGTTGTTCTGAAACCAACAGGAATCAAACTTTGTAGTAGTTAGAACATAGTTGAAAGATGCCCGAGGGAAAAAGAGATCGACCTGATGGCACGAAGTGCCCGAGTGCGGCTCTTTTGCCCGAGGCCATATTCAACTATGTTCTAACTGTTGAAGAGCATGTTTTTGCTCTTTCTGAGGGAAAGATGCCGGAAAATTGTGAAAGAGCCCGGAAAATTGCGCGAAACTATGCAAATGATTTCTTTTTGATTCATGCGATCTTATATTTCATTTTTCATTCATGCCTTGTCGTGAAATAACATGTGTGAAAGAGCAAAAACATACTCTTCGCACCAAAAATCCACACAGAAGTGAAGCTGCAACTTCGCAAAATGAGCGAGAAAGCGGCAAAGATACGGGAGCTTTTAAATACACAAAAATTCAAACTTTCATGTAATGATACATGTAATAGTTCATGTAATAAACAAAAGGCAATCACACTAACTTTGCACTAAATTAGATTGTAATAAACCGAATTGCGTATAAATTATGCATTTTCAAAATCCCGCGAAATATAACGAGTTGGAAAATTTCTGAAATGAGATTTTAATTTATGAATCAACTGTGTTAACTTATTTCTAATCAAATGTCAAAGCACAAGTAAATATAATGCTAATGCAGCCTATGTATTCAAAAACGCCACCAATAGTAGCACTTTTATTTTCGACTTAGGTTGGAAAAAAGTTTCATCGAACAATCGCACTACACTACGCTGGCGTAAACATAATCACTTATTAATGCAACCGTTAAAAATATCTTTCGCTACGTCAGCGGAAAAACCCTTGTGAAATTACGAGTCGCTTTCAGCATCATATCATTAATTGTTTCGGATTTTTCGAATGAGCCAGAAATTGGTTTTCGTGAATTCGACTGCAACAGTCAGCGAATTGAGATCAAATCGGGACCGAAGTTTTGTTCACTTTTTTTGTAGGGAAAGGTTTATTGTCACTTACCCATGTCTGTGTTCCGTATGAGTAGTAACCGGGTGCGATGCTGAAGAAAAGGACATTGACAGCCAGGATGGAGAAGATAAGGATGTACACAAGGAACAGCAGTGCTTCCGGCTTAGTCTTTCTCGGTCTAATCTTGTACAACTAAAATGAATGCTAGAAAATTCAAAACAAGAATGACACATGATGTTTCGACTACTGTAACGTGGCTAAAACATTTAAAAATGAAAAAATATATATATTAATTTTTCGAAATATTTTGACATTTTTGGTGTAACGTTACTGAGGTATCAGTGAAATTAGTATTCAGTTTCCAAAATAAGTTAAAACTATCCTCAATAAGGTAACAACAATAACAAAATCAGAGACCAACACGGATTCTATTTTACCAAAAATCTTTAGTTCCACAGACTTTGAGAAAATCTTCAAAAGGTTTTGACTGAATTGTTCTTGCCATGTCACACAATGAGATCATATTGGCGCCATAGTTTTAGGCACCATAATGAAACGAAAAAAATATGAATAAAATTATATGGGGTACAAGTGTCATAGAGGGGTCCCAAGAAACTAACCGGGTCCCTAATGAAAATAAACCGTCTCAAAATTATTCAATTTAGCGCTTTGATGATGTCAATTAAAAAATCGAATAAGTTTGCGCGAATGAGGTGGTTTATTATGTTTGAGAAAAAGTTTTATAATGACCGACCTGTGTGTTTTGAGCTATTTATTTGCGGTATTTGCCCGAAATTAATGTAAATTGGGACCCCTCTATTACACTTGTATCTTAGATGGCTCTCCCCCCAGCAAAACAGGACGGAGTAAACGTTACTTACACTGACGCAGCAGATTCTGATTCCACTGTGGACGATGCCTGCCACCACACACATTACGATATACACCAACAGACACACCAGAACTATATAGTCAATAGGGAAAGCCTGAAACAACTTCGGGTCATTACTATGGCAATTAGTTCAGTTTATACAGGCACAAACAGGCCATAAAAAGACATAATTCCAGAAATATTTGGTTATAAGTTTTTTTAGGGGAGCGGTGGTGAAGTGGTTACGTCACCGCCTCTCAATCGAAAGGTCGGATGTTCGAGGCCCACCATGATCCGTGCTCGTTGCAGCCCAGAAAAATAACCAAAAAGATTGCATGTAGTTCTTAAAAGAGGGGCACAACAGCGGTTCGCCGTGATGAGCTGTACAGATCTTGTGTTGGTCCTTTCCGTCGTGGATAAATGGTCTTAAAAGGGTATAAATCGCACTCACGAAAAAATCGCAGATTTTTTAGCGTGCAATTTTCAACTTCAAATTCAAGTCCGCAACTTCACGAGAACTAAACTATCAACTAAACAAAAGGCGGTACCTCCGAAGTTGGAAATACTAACATCGAAAAGGGAATGGAAAAAATTGGAGGACATACGTAGCTGGCGTACAGCTGAAACAAAATTAGCAGTCGAAAACACGATTTTTTGTTGTAGCAAAAAAAGGAGACTTCAGGGCCAAAAAAAATCGACCAAAAACTTTGATAAAAAAAACCAGTTCCATTATTTTAAAGGGAGGCGAAGCAGAGCAGAAACAAATGAAAAAAAAAAAAGATGACACGTTTTTTGAATTCCAAATCACGGTAATTAAAAGATCCCCGAAAAAAAAAAACACAAATTCTAGCAAAATGAACTTTCAATGCAAACTTATAATATAGCCAACTGCCAATGAACGCAATTAACCGAAAAAAAAGTATATGCTCTTAAAGCTCTTTGAATTTGTAAAACAACTTCTGAGTGGCATTTTTTCGATAAAATTGACCAAATTTGAGAAAACTGGATCAATACGTATTTTTTTTATTTCGCTGGGAAAACTTAAAAATTAAATTCCACTTTCGAAAATAGAAGTCGATCACGTTTTTCGTAACCTTGACACTTTCGCCGTTCAATAGTGGATTTTGCCTACCTTAAGAAACGAAAAGAACTGATTTTGAAAAGAAATCGAAAGAAATCAGACCACGAAAATAAAAGTAAAACTTGAGCCTGAACAAATTTAAAAAATAATCGCCACCTATACAAGACTCTGAACTACGATCATTGACTCTTAAAAAGAAATATAAAGTAACAGCAGGACCAAAATCAATTCAGTCCAAAGTCCCAAAAAAAAGCACATCACGATTATCGCTACTGAACAGTCATTTATTCAAACTCGCTCATAATTTTTCACAAAAAGCAAGAAAGCAAATAAACAGCACGTACAATTTGAATGAGCTGAATACTTTTGTGCAATGGAAAATCTGGAAAAAAAGCGAAATTAAAAAAATACGTCTATTAATTGGACTCATCTGAAGTTCAGGAATACTTTTTGATACTATACCCTAGTCCCAACTCATCTGAAAGCGCCTCGCACTCAGAACTAGCATGCCGAACAAAAAAGTCTAAAATGGACATTTTGTTTGAAATTTGATACATTTCTCATTTGAAATTTAATTTTCCAGTCATAAGGCATGATAGCATACTGCACAATCAACAAGATGACAAAATAGTAAAACTTTTTGAGGAATTTTTGCTAAATCAAAATGATATGGAAGAGAGGCTAAGATCGCAAGAATGATACTCATGCAAGGACAGTCTCAATTTTGCTAACCCACCCTTTGATGCCAGAACAGTAAATGACGTAACCATCGAGACAGAAATTTCCAAAAACAATTTGGGAATTGAAATTTAAATAGAAGAAACAAAGGCGTGTCATATTCTGCTTGCGGATTACAATGACTTTTGCCGATTCTCATCTGCAAGTTTGTGTACTTTGATGATAAGTCGGTAATACGGAACAGCACGCGAATTTTACGCAAAAATTTAAAGCACCAAATGAACAAGGGATTTACTTAAACGAGCCGCTGCCCAAAGCAGATACAGAAATGATTGCAGCTGCAAAGCAGATGGGTCTCGAAGACCACCATGAACAACTGCGTGGTTTTGGTTTTTCGGTTGCAGTGAGGACGGGAAAAATTCAAAAAAAGATGTCAAAGTTAACGGTCGATAAACTGAAAAAGCTTGAGAAAGCTTCAAGTTGCAAGAGAGGATGCAACTGCTCACAAAAAGTCTCCACCAGTAAAAAACATAACGCTGCCCAAAATAGGCAATCAAAGCGTCTGCTACTTTACTACAAGGAGGAACTGAAGCTTAAAACTTAGAGTTATTAATGACGAGCTGTGCAAGACTCTCGTTAAAAGTTTGTTTCATGAATTAAACATTTCAAGTATATTTCCTTGTACTTGTAATTCAGAGAGAAAAGGGAGTTTTCTCATATTTTTTTCCCTTTTTTTGGGCAGTCTAAATTAGTTTTCTCTCTTCAGTTGACTTCATGAATTTTCTCGGTACTTTTTTCGATTTTTGCTAAATTGACAGTGAAATAAACTTATTTCAAATCAGTGCTCGGTTAAAGTATCGGAGAGTCCTTTGTTGGCCCTGCTTGTGATAACGCAAGCAGATCTGACTGGTTTTTGATTACGCAACCAATAAATCAGTTAAGGGGTCCTTCAGTTAAGGGGTCCTACTTTTTTTCCGGTGCAATACCAACTATAAAAATTTTAACAGCTCTGTGATTACGCGGAATTTTTTTGATCTAATCCAGTTTCTTTCCTTTTAATAGTTTAGTAGCACTCATCAAAACTCAATGTAAATCAACCGAGAGAATGCAAAAAAAGCATTTGTTTCAAGGATCAACAAAGATTCATAGGGGTCATTAAAGTATGTATTCAAGCAACTAAATTTTACTACAAACCATAAGATTGCTTCCGAAAAACCTTTCCGAATTTGAAGTTTTAGTTGCTCAACTAAATTCAAAGCCAATAATGATAGGTATAACAAAAACATGGTTGAAGGAAAATCAATTAACCAACTTAATTAAATATTTGGGGTATCAGTTTTTAATTGACTGCTCAAGAAAAAAAGAGGTGGAGTAGGTATACATGTCAGAGAAATTATCATTTTTGAGGCACTCCAAAAATTAAATGATAACAAAATCCAAATTCCGAGCATTCGAATTGTGACAAAACATTGCAATAGCATCATATTTTCGTGTATTTATATACCACCCAGCGCAAATAATTCGCAAACATTAGACAAGCTTCGTAAAATTTCAGATAGTCTTATGATTGAACCCCAGGCAAAACATGCAGTATTTAATGATTTCAACATTAATGAATTGAACGAAAACAAGAAAAAATGAATTCATAGTAGTACTAGATATTTGAGAACTGAAACTTGCCAACAGCAAGCAAGCGGCCAGAGAAAGTAGTAGGAACAAATAGTGTATCAATCTCTTTAACCAAATATGTCAAACCAAAACAATTCGAACATCAGTAAGCGATCATAACACTGTAACATTGTAACCCAAAATCAGAGAATCCCATTCAAAAACATCTAACTAGACCGTGATATAACCTGCATTCTAATAAATTAGTTGAAGATCTCAGGGCCAGTCTTAGACCTGACATCGACTAACTTAACGATCATCTCTTTAATAGATTCTAATGAATCTTTTTCAAGACTGCACAAAAATTTGATAGATAAATTAGATATGATTTTTCCCGAATAAGTATCCAAAAAGGGATAAAAAGTTTGGAATAATGATGAAATAGAAAAGGCGGCCACAAAAACATCGATTACTAAACCAGTTCTAAAAGACTCGGTGCATCACCAAATGACTCGGTGCATCAGCGTGGCGGAAAAAATATGAAATCCAATCAGCTTTTGTGAAAAAATTAATAGCGTTCTATCAAGAAAAGGAAAGCGTTCTATCAAGAAAATTTGAAGCAAATATTCACAACAAAGAATTTTTCAGAACGAATGAATTAACAGGTTGAAAACAGAAAAAATATTAAACTTGTTTAGATTAACGCTTTCCTTTTACTAGCTATTAATTTTTTCACAAAGGCTGATTGGATTTGATATTTTTTGCGCCATGCTGATGCACCGAGTCTTTTGGTGATGCACCAAGTCTTTCAGAACTGGTTTAGTAATCGATGGTTTTTGTGCCCGCCTTTTTTATTTCATGTTTAATCCAAACTTTTTATCGCTTTTTGGATACATTTTTTGGGAACAATCAAATGTAATTTATCTATCAAATTTTCGTGCAGTCTTGAAAAAGATTCATTAGAATCTATTAAAGAGAAATTTTAACACTTTCTATTTTTGGGTTTATTGGTTTCAAATAAAAAGATTTGATTGGAGCAAAAATTTCCATCGCCTGGCCGAAAAAAGTTGGGTTATGAGTAATTTTTTTACCATAGGAAAAAACCTCGCAGCAAAATTTTTTTCGGCCAGGCGACAACGTTTCGCTCCAATCGAATCTTTTTATTTGAAACTAGTAAGCAACAAAAATAGAAACTGTTTGAAAACATGAAACCGAAATACAGCCATGACCCATACAACATTAAATATTTTGTTCTAAAAAAACATCAGCCTGTACTTTTGGAGTTGCTTACAGCGCTTTTTTCAAAAATGCTTCTGCCAGATTTTTCCGAAAATCCTAAAAATTGCTGAAGTAATTTTTATACACAAAGACGGTAACAAAAAAGATCCTGCTGATTTCAGACCATTTTCTTTTATACCGGTTTTCGGCAAATTTTTCGAGAAGCTCACTTTCAATAATATTGACCAATTTTTTTGACAAAAGAAATATGTTCAATCAAAATCAGTTTTGATTTAGCTGAAAACGCGGCACTATAGTTGCTATTGTATCCCTGATTGAGAAAAACAATTTCATTGGAAACATCAAACCATCTTAGCCCAATGCTTATTCATAGACCTGAAAAACTTATGACACTGTCGAACATACTATTCTGCTGGGTAAACACGAGTCATGTGGACTTACAGGGCATGTTTTTCACTTATTGAAATCGTATTAGGCTAACAGAAAACAATCTGTGTACGTTCAATGAAAATCAGTTTCGATTTAGTTCACAACGTGGCACTGCAGATGCTATTGTATCCCTGATTGAGGAAAATAGATTTCACTGGAATGATGAAACCATCTTAGCCCAATGCTTATTCATAGACCTGAAAAAGCCTTTCACACTGTCAAACATACTATTCTGCTGGATAAACACCAGTTATGTGGACTTAGGGGCCCTATTTTTAATTTATTAAAATCGTATTTAGCAAACAGAATACAATCTGTGTACATTGAGACAAAAAACAAAAGTTCAAGGAATAAAGTTTGGTGTCCCACAACAATCCTAAATGATATAGGAAAAAAAAGCAACAACCCTCAACAAGTTAGTAACGTGTTACCCTATCCGTATGATACAGTCATACAAACAACCTCTTCATTAAATAGTCTGAAAGCAGATCCCCAAAAAGTCTTAAACGAAACTAATGTTTGGTTAGCAAGCAATAAACTAACACTTAACAGAGAAAAAAAACTATGCTTTTCGGCAAAAGTTAGCTCTGAAACATTCTACAGATACAAAAACTAATAGCGAAAATTTTTTTTAAAGCAAGTTTCAAATATCTTCGAAATACTTAAGATTATAATTTAATGTTCGAAAACCACGTTAATTAATTTAAACAAAAAGTACGCCAATACTGTGGGCTTTTTTACAGACAGAAAAATGTTGACAAAAAAGCAGCTTCTTTGAACCTATAAAACTTTTGTTGAGCCAATTTTACAATATGGTATTCTCGTTTATGCATCAACTGAAAGAATAAAATTCGAACAAAATGCTCCCGAAACGTCTGCTACAAAACCATGTTATAAAAAAAATCGAATCAATTACATACGTCAAACAATATGATAAAAAATTTTCTTCTGATAAAAAACATTCTGACGAATTGCTAAAAGTTTAGTGCAAAGTAATACGGAGTAAACGCCAATCTAAGAATTTCCAAAAAGTAATGTGAAGAAATGTGACAAATCGAAGACTGGAAAAAAGTAATGAACGCGAGTAAACATTAAAAAACAATGAATTTCTTTAAAAAATCTCATCTTTCACAATTCAAAGAAAAAAGTAGATGCCTTATAAGCATTTTGAATTTCTAGAACAATTTATGATTGGCAGTTTTTTTATAAAATTAACCCAACTTGAGAAAACTGGATCAATAGTTTAAGTTTTTATTCCGCTGAAGATCTAAAAATTAAATTCCATTTTCGAAATTAGAAATCATTCACGTTGATGAATTTAAATTGAACTCTAAAAATGCATTTATACTTAAAAGCAATCATTAATGCATCAAAATGTATGAATGCATATCTGTCGTTATTAGACTCTTAAGACGTTTCCTGAAAAAAAAAACAGGAAAAAATCAAGATCTATATAAGAATCTTTACTACGTTCATCACTCTCAAATTAGCGAGAGCTGTCGCCGCATACTCAAAGTTTGCACCAAAGCACTCGATTGCTGCCAGAACGAGCACTTTTCACGATTTTGCTCTTTTTGTTGCCTAATTTACAAAAAGGATGAAAAATTTTAATAACCAGGAACTAAACAACTTTAACCATCAATTTTGAAATAACTATATTCAAGCTAATAGTTATCTGATTAATAAGCTGTTTTGTAGTTACACTAAAACAAATCTGTATTTGCCTTCTTCCTTGTTTTTCGACATTTAAAAATTTTTTTATTATGATTATGATTCTTATGATTACGATTTTTATTATTATTATTACTATTCTGGTAAACCTGCAATTTCTATCAAACGGTAAAACTTTCATCCTTTTGTGATCAAGCTGTGCTCTCATCCCAAGATTTTCTTCCCCCTAACTTCAAGAGTACCAAGAAAAACAATTTTGATTCTCGCTCTGAGACGCCTGAAAACAAGCTTAATTTAGTCAGTCTAACCGCGCTCTCTCAAGTGATGTTTTTTTCATTTGTAATTCTGTACGTCTAATGATTTCATTCGGAATTTGTAATGATTATATATAATAAAATGCTCACAACTTGAAAGTTTAAGAACATATATCAAAATCAACTCTTAATATTCAGAGATAATTCATATTCAAACGCAGAGGCGAAGCTGCTCTTCGCAAACACTAGCGCGAACGACAAAAAAGCAGCTCTACAAAGTAAAATAAATAAAAAGTAAGAATAGCCTAAAAAATTAAATTTTTTAATATGCCGGATTCGATCCTACAACCAGTAGATATAGAACCGCCTGTCCTCGCAACTGCGTCACATACCCTAGGCAATTTACTAGCTCTACGTTCATCGACTCCTAAAAAATTCTGATGATTTATTTAGTCAACACTTACCACCTGCAGCTGAGTAAGGACATAATCAATAGGATTGACCCAGGCAGTTCCATTGATGACGTAGCCATATCTGTAGCCCTCTCCATTCAGGATTCGATCAAGACTAAAAAGATAATCATGCTAGTCTCTTTAATGTTTTTGATGCAAACACCAAGATTCGCGAACTCAATAAAGCGCGGAATTTTTCAAGCTCGAATCAAAAACAAGATCTAGTAGACCTTTGAACAAAAACAATCTGTAATTTCTGTAATTTACAAATGAAAATTACCGAATAATAAATCAAGATTAATTAGATCAGGGTGAAACAAAAAAAATAAGTTTACTTGGTGGTGACGATAACTCCGACGACAAAGAGAGAGATTGCGAAGAAGATGAGCCCTGCGAGGAACTGGAAAGGGCGACAGAGGAGGAAGCACTTGGCACAGCACCACTTCGCCTCCATCTGTTCCAGAATACCCAGCTGCCTCCTTACATCTTCTAATTCACCCTCCATCCGGGCCACTTCCTTAATTCTCCCATTCTAAAAACAGTTCAAATTCATTCGAACACATGCGAAGCACAGATGCTATTGAATTGCCAAAGCTATCCAGCAAAGGTGCAATTAAATGAAAAGCCTTCTTTGCGAGTTGGGTTAGAAAAAAGCAAATTCTTAATATAAGAAACACTTCGCTCGCTAGCTAGTTGGTGTAAAAACCAAATTTCAAAACACCGAACTCGAAACGCTGTTATTAAAGACATCTGAAAACGGATCTCTAATGCTAAGCAGCAAACATATTAGTCGAACTTTCGTTCAATTAAATTCTTGTTTTGCAGCTGCATGAAACAATTTATTGTCAATTTTATTATTTCGTCAAACTGAATCTAATTAACAAGCCATTTTTTCACTTGTGGTTGTATTTAAATGGTCAATTGACAAATACATTATTTCTACACAGAGGCGAAGCGGAGCTTCGCGCCACTTATATGCAACACAATCATGACAAAAAAACAAGTCGGAAAAAAAATGGAAAATGTTGAAAAAAAACTAGGTGAACCAAAATGAAGGGCACCTAGGGCCCCAGCTAAAGCTGGAGGTATGTGATTGCTACTTTTTGGATTTGTTATACTGATGCGGGACGAAATGCGAAGTTCAAAAATTAGACTTTGCCTAAAACCTTAGTTGTTTCCCTACTAAAATAAGAGAGAGGAGGGAAAATTTTCAGGATTTGGAATGTTTCCAAAGACATAACGTTTCTCTTACAAAACATTGCCAACCGACAGTTAGAAAAGAGTAATGAACGCAATGAAACTGAAACGAAACTGTTTTTTTTTTTCAAAAATCTTCAACTTTTGAATTTCGAAGAAAAAAATAGATGGCCTTTAAACTCTTTGAATTTGTAGAAAAATTATGATGGACACTTGTTTGTTAAAATCAAACTAATTTGAGAAAACTGGATCAATAGGTAAAACTTTTATTTCGCTGGGAAATCTGATAATTAATTTCCATTTTCGAAATTAGAAGTCGATCACGTTTTTCGTGACCTCTATAAATTTGCTGTTCCATAGTGGAATTCGCCTTCCTTTTAACAATAAAAATGCACTGAACTTGAGAGAGAGAGGGGACACTTTATTGTTTCAATATACTTATGCAGTTGCAGAACTGATTGTATAAGAATCTAGTGTACAATATTACGCAATGGTTATATAACATAACAAGAAAAAACATAATTTTCTACGAGGACGAATCAAATAATTGATTTAACAAAATAAATGTCCTTGGATGCGGAAAGACTCCTTATTGGGTAACAGGGTGTCATCTTTTCTTATGATGAAATTTTTTATCAGAGTTTTTGTCAATGTGTACGGTAGTTTTCGATTAAACAAGGTTCGGAATATTGTGTTAAGGTTTCTGATTGATGTAAATAAGAAAGACTTACGAAGGAAATCAGTTTTACATGTTAAAGGGAACAGTAATGTTCCAGTTCGATGGTTATAGCGGAATTCAGAATTTGGGAATCTTATATGCATGAAAGCTGGGGCATCGTTTCGGCATAACCTGTGAAGGTAGTGTGCTGATCGGTACTCGATTATATTCCGAGCAGTAGGAATTTTGTGCTGTTTCCTTAGAAGTGTAACGGAATCTCGTTTGCTTATATTTATTATTATCCTGATTCCCCATTTTATTTGTTTTTCGAGTTTCTCAATATTATCTTGCGTAAAACCTGTTTAAGAGCATGCATGGATAGTGCAAATGGCTCAGTACAAGAGTATTTAACAGGAGAATTCTAGTATGCAGAGGGATTTCCTCCCGGATGCATTTTATCGTTTGGATTGCTGTAGCCATTTTTTGTAAAATTTTGTTGATTTCTTTGTCGAATGTTAAGCTTATGTCAATATTGACGCCGAGAAATTTAACTGTCTCTGTTAAATTAACTTGATAGTTTCCAACTTTCAATGAAAGATTTTCAGTTAGTTTCTTTTTCGACGGTGCCGAAAATACAATGAACTGGCTTTTGTCTACATTAATCATTAATCGATTTAAATGAAAATACAAGAGAATTTTATTGAAATTGTTTTAAATGCTCTTTGTTGCTGTTTCGGGATCTGAATGAAAACTAAGCAGAGTCGTGTCGTCGGCCTATTGTACTAACGCACATGATTTGTCTATTGTTTGTGGCAAGTCATTTACATACAAGTTGAACAGCAGTGGTCCTAGTACAGTACCTTGGGGAACACCTTGCTCTAATTTAAGCCAATCGGAGTGTTCGCCGTTTACTATTGTCAATTGCTGTCTGTTTTCTAAAAATGACTTAATAAGAGTTGTTGCTGACTGTTCAAAGCCAATGTGACTTAGTTTCCTTTCAAGGACTGAATGAGAGAGTGAATCAAATGCTTTAGATAAATCAAGAAATGCAGCCGCTGCTGTTATTTTTATCGAGATGGAATCTGATTTTTTCTGTTGTGTATAAAAGAGCATCATTAGTTGAATAACCTGGACGAAAGCCAAATTGTTATGGATTTAGAATATTGGAATTTGCTAAGAATTCGTGAATTTGGGATGAAAAAATTTTTCAAACAACTTCGATAGAGTGGGTGTAATAGAAATTGGACGATAATTTACTGGATCTGTCGAGTCGCCTTTTTTGAATATGGGGAAAAACGTGTGCCTTTTTTAAGGTATATGGGAATACGGATTTCGAGATGCATTCATTGATAATCATCGTAAGAATTGGGTTTGCAGTATTAATGCTGTCTTTTAGAGCCCAAGCAGGGATTTTGCTTGGTCCTAATGGCTTGTTTAAGGGAAGTAATAAAATTGCATCTTTCATTTCTTTGTGAGTTATGAACCTGAATTGAAAGTGCCTATTTGTTTTGCTGTGTAAACTGTACTCAGTTGGTACATCTATGGGAGGATCTGCGTTTTTGTATTCTACTAATGTTGAGAACCTGTAGTTAAGGAAATTTGCTTTCTTCTTATTTTCAATTATAGTGTCGCCAAACGAATTCCGTAGATCACCTATTTGCGTTGACTGTTTCATGGTGTTCCTGATAGAGTTTATGAAATTCCATTGTTTTTTGGACAGTCAAGCATTTTGAATTGGGCTGTTTTCTCTTTCTTGTATAAATGTTTTAGATGATTGTTGTATTTATTTCTTATTCGTTTATAGTTTTCAAAATTGGCATCTGTTCTTGATAATTGATATGCCTTTAGAAGATTTTCTGTTTCCTGTTTTAAAGGTCTATTGACTGAGTTAAGTACTTTAACAGACAGCTGTAGCTGCGGTTTATTTCGGATATACTTCTGCTCTAGTGGTGCGTGAGCGTTTAGGGCATGCGAGAAATTATCTTCAAATTTTATTAACATTTTAGAGACATCGTTTTCTTGGTAGACGAGAAACCATGGACTCTGTTTAAGTTCCTCGCAGAACCTATTTTTACAATAATTGGTTTTGTTGAAGCGAAAAGTTCGAATTGAAATGGCTTTTTCGAATCGTTTTAGTTTGCTAATACACATTGTTATTAAATGGTCCGTGTTTATAGGTGGTTCTACAATAGTTTCTTTACAAAGAGATTTGGTTGTTATAATGTTATCTAAAATGGATTGGCTGTTTTTAGAGTTGTATGTCGGTATCGACTTATTGGTTATTGACAAATTGTATGGTTTAATAGAATCGCTGAGAAATTTAGCTTCATGTTTATTCAAGTAGTTAATATTGAAATCACCCAAAATCGTAACATCTCGCGCTTCAGACGCAGCGTAATCGATACCCTTTAGTGTATCTTCTATAAAAATTTCCTTGAATTGTTTGTGTGGATTGTAGGCAATAGCAATTATCTGTCTTTTTGATTTTTGTGAGATGATTGGCTATATTCCACAAAAAGTCCTTCAAAATGGGAGGGACGCAGATAATTTAAATCTTCTCGAATCTTAGGGTTAAATATTTTCGGAATAAGAAGAAGAGTACCACCACCTGCGTGTTGACCAGTGCATTTTTTGCTACGGTCGCATCTAAAAATTTCATGGGTTCTTTTGCAGAATGAATAAGTTTTATGATCGCATGTTTCGTCAAGCCAGGTTTCCGTAAGACCGATAATTGTGTTTGAGTCAACTATTTCTGACAAGAAACGTATTTCCACGTGTTTGTTCTTTATGCTTCTACAATTTAGAGTTATATATTTGAGGAAGTTGTGGTGTTCCTTTGCTTTGTTTGCCAGGATTTCATATGAAAGTGCAGGACCTGGATTGACTTCGATGTCCCCACATTGAAGAAGCAGGATTTCCAACATTCCAATCTGAAAGGTTAGTAACACAACTGCGCATTAGATGCCAGCTGTGAATCTAAAGTGGCGGTTAGACGTCATGTTTCTAGTTTTGAGTAGTGCGGTGCTGTTGGGTACATTGTAATTAATGGGAATGCTAGTTAAAAGGGAGAAAATAAGGAGAGTCTTTAAAAGCCATTGGCTAAACATAAATTTGATAGATCCAGATCATTGGGTAATAGACTACTAAAACAACATTAGTATGGATAGTATCTATTATGGCGTAAGTCATAAATACTACGATTGGTATTCATATAATTGTAGGTTTGATTGTTGCTGAAATCATGGCTCGCAAGATTCTTTGGGTGCTCGGGGCCCCACGAGACTTGGCTTGAACCAGGTTTCATACGATTCCTCTGAGGGTGCGCTGGGCCCCTAGAGTTGGAAGTATTCGGAGAAACAACTCGAGGTGATAAGCTGGATAATGGTAGCACCTTTTCCATGATTGCATTTTTTAAAGTACTAACAGAACGCATCAAATGTACTTCATCAAAGAAGATTGACTGATAGTCGTTTATGCTGAACAATTTGATACTTTTTTTTCTTAAATTTATGAGCAATAAGGCTGTTGAATTCAGTTATACGTTTACCACTTACAGAATCGTGTGAAGCCAGGAAAATGCCAGGAATAATGGTGCTGTTGGTGTCAAGGATAATATGCTGAAGTTAGTAGTCAGTGCCCAAAGAATGGCAACTAGTGTTTCATCACTCTCTGAAACTATTTAATAAGTTTATCACAACAATTAGGCTAACAATTAGAAATCACTAAAAAGAAATCACTAATCAAACCGCGAAAAATCAAAATTGAGCTTGAACAGATTAAAAGTTGAGGAGTAACCTAGAAAAAATTGAGCGTAGCAAATAGTTAAGGTACGCTACCAACAACCTGTTGTGTCGATTAAACCTATGATATCAGATTTGGCAGGTTAGTTAGAGAAAAGTCCAAAAAACGGTCAACAAATCAGAAATTCCGAGAATCATAGCTTTTCGTTTTAAAGTATTTGGAAGAAGCTGCTTATCCAGAGGAGATTAACATAACCAGCAATTCCGATTGAGTTCAAAAGCCCAGGTTTGGCAGGGTAGTTTTCGAGAATGGCCAAAAAAAGAAAATTTTGACTTTTCTGAGGGCCATAATGTTTTGTGTCAAAACAATTGATGTGTCGGGTATGCAAAGGAACTCTTCAGGTTTTTCTTTAGATTTTACCTAAAATCTAGGATATGTGAGGGAATTTTTTTGGTAAAATTCGTAAAATTTAGATAAAACACGCTAAAAAAAAAAGACTTTTCCGAGGACGATAACTTTTTGTGGAAAAATTGTGGCCACTAATACAGGGGAGCTTCAAACTACCCGTTATCTCCACTGAACCCACAAACTCTGATTTCTCTCAAAAACTAACCGGTCAAGCCTGAGGTTGTGGGTTCCGTGGATATAACGGGTAGTGTGAAGCTCCCCTGAAAAAAACGGCCAAAAAAGTCAAAAATTTTACTATTCCGAGGGCCAAAATTTTATATGTAAAAAATTTGGGTGGGGTGAAAATGAGGGAGCTTTCACCTTCGTTCTATTCACTGCAGCCAAGATTTCAGATTTGGAAGGTTAGTTTTTGAGAAACCAAAAAGATGAAAATATTCGTCAAATATTCCCCCCACAGACTTTTTCGAAGGTAGTAGATAAAGGGGTAAAGCAAAAAGAGACTAGAGGAGTATGCAGGCACAAAATAATCTAAACAATCTTTCTATGGACCCTCCTTTTTTCAAAATCGGTAGAAAGGTTTTTGAAACTTAACTTTTTGCAAAAAGTGATAAAATTTTCCAAAGCATCTCAAAAAATAAAAAAAGAAAACATTCCCGTACATTTTCATAACACCCGTTTTTATCAAACAGGAATTTTAGGCAAAAATGTCAAGCAAGGCATTTGAAATTTAAATTGGCAAATGAACAAAATTTAACAAGCGGAAACACGGCCGGGAATCTGGAGCAGACGCCAGTTGAGACGAAAAAAAATTTTGTAAAAAACTTTAAAAAGTTTCAAGTCCCCCCTGAAACTATCATGTAGTAACTAGTACCCACCCATTAGTTAAAACTGAATCCCACCCATTAGTTAAAACTGAATTTTAATGAAATGCGCATGTCAGCTGCATAGTGATTTATAAGTGCTTAATAGTGATTCAATTGATTTTTTTAAACTGGTTGTAAGACTTAATTCCGATTTGATAACGCTTGCTAATCGCTAGCGTAAAAAATATTGCAATTCTCGAGCGTGAAACTTCAAATTCAATACAGGAAATTGATTGGTTTTAGCTAAGCGCGAAATAATGGAAATACAGCAGCCAGCTATCATGCTTAAATCATATAAACCTACATTTATTTGTACTTTTATCTCAAAATTGAGCTAAGCTCAAGTTCTATGTTTTTGACTTTTTTTAAAATATTCGGTACTTACATATATTTCATAATGATAATGAAATCTTCGCCTGGCTAATTTGGTAGAGTAAAGGGAAATTTGAAAACATGCAAGATACTAGTCGGTGAGACGGCCCTAGTGTCAGATTGGTTTTCCTTGGTGTTTCAGTGTAGTTAGTATTCAATGCGAGTTGTTTATTGTTCCTACTTTCGCAAAAAGCGAAATATTTATCCTCGGTGTGGTTTTTTTATTCAGCCCTCTGATTATTTTTTGTAAAGTTCTGAGGGTTTGAAAATTGCCAAATTGGCCATTTTCTGGACTAAATTATGCGCTCTTTGAAGAATTTATTCATATTGCTGAGAGCGTAACGCGAATTATTTATGCCTAGCGAATTATCCCGCACATCAAAATCGATCCAAATTGAATTGAGGCAAGCTAATCGGATCGGTCGTATTAATTTTGTACGACTCAACATTTACACTTTGATATTGTACAAAGTTAATAGGTTTTCAAAATTTTTCTTTTCCCAAAAACTAATCGATATGAATTAAGGGACAGTCGTAACATTCAGGGCTTTGCCCTGATATACGAGCCGTCTTGTTCAAGAGTTAAAATGGGACAAGTGCAAAGCGATACTTCGCAAATAAGAAAGCAAGAGGGAGCCACAAAAACTTTTTTAAAGCAAAACTGCTTTTTGCAAACACAGCAAAAAGCGCCAAGTAACGTTACAAGGTTTAAAAAAAAATTAAAAAAAGCAGGAAAATTAAAATAGTAATGAGTTTTGAAAAGCAAATTGACCTATACAAGAGTCAAACCTCAGTCCTCTGATATCCAAGTTTTCAAGTCGACCGCCCTACTGTGCAGCTTACAGAATCCAAAAACTAGCACTGAAAAATTGCAGAATACATCCTTTTGAGCTACCAATACAATACACCAAAATGATCACTTTTCTTTACGAGTTGGGTTGGAAAAAAATGCGTAATATGACACTACTCTGGCTAGTGTAAATAAATAAGCTTTGTAAAGCAAAAAGAACTCGGCTGATACGGGATTCAAGCCGCAGAATTTCGCATAATCAAGCATTCGCCTTCCTGAGTTGGAGATTAAACATCTCTGATAGTATTTTCTAACGGCCCTTACCAATGCAGGGTAGTCGTTCCTAACTCGAAGAGGCCGATGATATTGGAAAACCGGCAACCAAGTGGGATTAAAACCGTCTACCTTCGTGTTAAGAGTTATGCGCTTTACTACTCATCCAATGCCGCTCAACGACAGCCAGACAGTGAATACCAAGCAAGCTAACAACTTGGATAAAATACTTCCAAAAACTCGCCCACCAATGAAATTGATCACAAACGTTGAGCACAATCGTGGGCGAGTTAAGATGGGAAAAAGTTAACGCATTTTATAATAAGCGTTTACTTGTGTAAAAGTCCGAAGTTCAAAACTGAAACAGAGGCAAATCTGCACCTCGCAAACACAAGTGAGAAATTGACAAAAGGAGTCTCTAAAAAGTGAAATAACAGAAGGTAAGAAACAAGCCCTAAAAAACAAAAATTTTCGGGAATATGAGACTCTCGTATTGCATCTGCTCCACGGGCCCTTGACAGTTAGCTAACACTAGCCACCAATGAAGCAGCTACAGATGCTAATCAATTGCCAATGCTATGCAGCAAAAATGACACCAAATATAAACACGGCGGCGAACTCGCAAACACTAGCCAGAACTTGACAAAAAAGTAGCTCTATAAAGTGAAATAAGAAAAAGTAGAAATAAGCAGGGAATTAGTTTCAAAAACTTTGCAGCTTAGAGGCGAAGCTGCGACCTAGAGATCAAGAATTGCACTACTTAACCTCTCAGCCACGGCAAATACTAGCAGAAAACAGTTGCTATGAAATTATCCAGTACTACATATCGTGATTATCGCAAAATTGCCACAAAACAGCACTTCTAATCGCAACTTAGGATAAAAAAAGATATTCATACTATACACTACGCTCGTTAGTGTAAACAAAAAGAAGTAACGATGATTCAATAAATGACTTACCCTTTTCTTGGCCGACTCGATGCGGACTTTAAGAGCCTGTTCTGAAGTGACCAGATCGTCACGTGTGCTCTCCAGAGACAGCCGACCGAAGATCCAACTGACGGGCATCGCAGCCATCCCATAGGCCTGCAATGGAAAACCACCAAAGAGATCAAAATTAAGCAAATTGCATAAAAATTAGCAACAATTCTATCAATGAATAATGCATCTGTACTGATTTTTTAACATGTTCGTTTGTGAATGAATTTTTTCCCATTATAGTTCCCAGCGTAGTATCAACAAAACTATGACACCCCCCACATACGCTGTGATTTTACTATCATGGTAAACAACCAATTTAAGGGGGCGGTTCTAGGATTTTCAAGGGAAGGCGGATTTCAAAAATATTTCAAAAACTTTGTCGATAGGAAAACTTTTGATGATAAACAGATCAGATATGCCGTTTGTGGGAACTTTTCGGACGTACTCCCCTTCAAAATTTGTACATATTGGCGCTAAAGGAAAAGTTTAGGGCAAAAATAGATGTCAGAAATATTACCAAAGGGGAGCCCTTTGGTTGATGAGGGGATCGAATCCACCCCTGCCAAACTTGAAAAAACCTTCAAAATTCTAAGTCTATCAGATCAAATTATGTAGCGCTAGTCTGGAAAAGCAAGGCCCAATTCTTGTTGCCTACTCAGCTTTAATACCATGAGTAAAATTTCTGTTTAATTAGAAGCAAGAGTTGATTCGTAAATAATAATTATTAAATAGACAGTACCCCGTAGAAGCAGAGGAAGAATACTCCGAGCGTGGTGAAGATGTTCACGACCAGCGCCAGACTGTTCTCGCCACCTGCTCACAAAAAATACTCACTCAAGCCATCGCAAAATCAACAACTAGGCACATATTTGACTAAATTTGAGCCACAAAAAAATGTTGAAATATTATGATCTTCACATTTTATCATCTTCAAAAATATAGTCAAAAATTCACATATCCAAAAATTGGTATTCCTTTTGCTACGGGAAAAATCTGCCAGGATTAACGTTGATTTATTTAGCTGGATAATAAATCAATTGTAGTTTTAGCTTACGGTCATTTCCCAATTTCGGAATGATCCACTCCAGATCTGAGATAGATGAATTGGATCCAGGAGTCTCACGCAACGGAATCAGAGCCCTGAAGTTGACAACGTCGATAAGTTATTTGAATCGAGGAATCATTAGTGTAGAACTCCAAACTTTTTCATGGTAGCAGGGGCGGATCTAGGATTGTTTCAAGGAGGGGGAAGAATGGTAGAATGGATTTTTAAAAAAGTGTTTTCGACGTCGAAGAAGAGAAGAATTAATTTGTCGATGTTAATTATTTTTAAATCAGACGTCTCTTATCTACCAAATTTCTTTTCCGAGCTCTTTGAAAACACTATATTATAACGTATAACTTATCACGATATTAAATTGTATTGATTTTTTGCATTGAAATGCTGGCCCGAATTCCACCTTATAACGACTCAGTGCGTTAAGTAGCAAAATCTGGATACTTTTTAAATGGAATTCGTGCAATTGAGAGACGTATATCATGCTAGAAGGACCAAAATTTGAAGTCATTAGCCAATCAGAATTCAGTTTCAGAATGAAAAAAAAATAAAAAGGGCGGCTTATTGATCAGTACGTTTCGGACAGTTCAATTAATGTTAACTGGTTAAAAATTTTCGCGCATTCCGTCCTTCTGTAATGATAATAGCCCCGCCCCCATTGTTGTACTATTTGTATAATAGAACCAAATAAGCAATCCCCCCACTAAATAAGTTTACAAAGGGTATCGCTCACTTGGCTGGTTTAGGGGGAAGGTTTTCCTATGTTTCTTTGCATAGATTTGATCTACTAACCCCAAAGTGAGGAGGAGTGCTGCAAATAAGACGAATGCGGTGGTCCACTTGAGAGCAGAGACACATCTGGAAGAGAGGTGGTTGTCCTCATCTGCCTCGTCTCTACTCTGGTTGTAGAAGAAGGCGAAGGGCAGAATTCCAAACACGAACAGCATGTCCAGTCCATAGAGACCTGAACAAAGACAGCAAAAAACTTCAAATCAGATCAGTGTCGAGATTAATATTCTTAAACTCTTACTCAGTATTTGATCTATATTCGTAGATTTAATTTGATGATTCCTAATTTATGGGTTGTTAACAGATAAACTAAGACCAGAGGAACAAAAGAAAAAACGCAATGAAACTTCAAGAAACAAATGAAACTTTCTCAAGAAAAAGTTTCAAGATGATTGCATTTGATCCATATTCGCAACTTTACTTTGATTATTCCTCATTTATAGTTTCTTACGAGATAAACAGTAACAATTATTCTCTAAATGAAAACGGATGTTCGATTTACATAAATCGTATCCTTCACAATTATTGAGGTTTAAAAAATGCCATATTTATTACCGTAATAGGCATATTGCATCAACTCGTTCATCTCATTTCGGCTCTCTTTTGAAGCAGCCCATTCCTAAAACAAATGATCGAACCTAAATCATGATCTGCATGAATTTCATACAATGCTACAGTGCTGATTTAAAGTATCCGAGCAAAAAGCAAAAAAAAACTTAAAACGCGTTTTTCTCAAATTGGGTTGACTTTAGGTAAAAAATGATGGCATCAAATGTTTTGGCAGTAATTGACCCGGTAGTAGTAGCGTAACTTGTGATTGACAAAAAAAGCCAAAAATGATCCATTTTTGATATATAATATTGGGCCCGAATTTCGCAACAAACTACACGATATTATTGCTGCTGAAATTTTACGCAAGGTCTGTTTTCATCATTTTTCACCTAATGTTAACCCAACTTGATAAAAAACGCTTTAAATTGCAAGTTCTATACGTTTCGTGCGGATAATTCAAAACAGCATGAAATTCTTCATTAAAAAATAAAGTTAAAATATAGCCAAAAGTCAATTGTAAATAGTCAATGAACGCATGGAAACAGAAAAAAACTAATTTATTTCTGAAAAACTTCGGCTTTCGAATGTACATATAAAAGAAATTCGGCTTTAACTCTCTTTGAATTTCAATACAAATTAAGGATTGACATTTGTTTCATACAATTAACTCAATTTGAGAAAACTTTTTGGGACCAGAAGGTGAAGTTTTTATTCCGCTGGGAATCTAACATTAAGTTTCACTTTCGAAATCTAAAACTTAATTTCACTTTTGAAAAGTAAATTTGTTGATCACATTGTCCGATTGTTTTGAAAATTGACATGCAGACTAATTAGGTCATGACAAACATATATGTAGTCAACCAACCTTGTAAAACCACTCATTACTAAAAACTGATGCTCGTGTGAGATTGTAGCGAGGAAAAAGAGCCGTAACCAAAGCTTAATTTTTCAAGGCTGATTCTATAAAAAGTTTGCATTTAGTTGTACCTTGAATTGTCCATTTTCCTTTGCGAATGAGACTAGGAATATGTCAACAGGAAGGAGAGATGAGCTCAAAAGGGCCACTAGCAGTCCCAAGATACACACTAAAAATGAGCCACACTCCCTTCGCTTACGACTGGCGAAGTACTGCACAAACACCACGCACAGAACTAGCTCAACCTGAACAATAGAAAGGCTAAAAGCTTATCATTCAACTAATTTTTTCACACCAAATTAACATCCGCCCCATTTTAGGGGGAAGAATGTTAACTTGATTGTAAGTTAAAAATAAAGCAATTTGAAACTAATTTCAAAAAATGGTCGAGTCTTCTTTTGAACCTTTTCAGCGAAAACCTTTTAACTAAGGATTCAGCTGCTTAAACCGCAGAAACAGTGTTCAGCCCGAAAATCGAGACCATTAATCCAAAAGGCTTTAACCCTACCCTTAAAGCCTTAGGTAAATATTTTTAGGCAAATGATGAAACATTAGTTAATTGTGTAACGAGACTTACCAAAAGGACAACCGAGAAAGGTATCCATGTTGCTGCCAACACACTACTGGGAATAATCATTTCATTTAATCTGAAGCACCAGATAGAAACTTTAGTTAACTATGATCATTATCCACAATCAGTTGATTTGTCTTTGAAGACAGCAAAGCAAAAATGAGGCTTCTAAAAACTGCTCAACAAAAATATCTGTGTACTGCTAATTCATAAATCCCACCTGAAAAATAACCAGACTGCTGTTACTCATACAAAGTATAAAACTAACATTAAAACTGTTTTAATTCAAATTCTATAGGACAATTTAAATGCATGCATGCTATCCGCTTTATTGATGGCTGGTTTGTGGTGGACAGATATTGCACATGTGCAAAGACATGAAAGTCCAACTCTGGAATCCGGCGCTTTGAAACTCATTGGTAAAAATTCGTTTGCTTATTTTTTGGAAAACTTATTTACTTATTATCGATTTTCTAGAAAAATTCAAATTAATTTTCTCCATTTTTATATTAGGAGCAGATCCGGAACTTTTCGAAGTGTCTGATTTTTGGCTGCCCATATTGACTTTAAAAATACCAAGCTTTGTCTACAGCTTGTAATCAATACATAGTCTTTTAACTATTTTAATAGAGCTTAGAACTTCAATTTGTTCGGCCTAAACTCAGAATCTTCAAAAAATTTGAGATTTGCCTGTACTATGAAAATGGAACCTTAAAATTGCTAGAAACACAACAATAAGTTAACAATCTTCGAAAAAAAATCAATCTTTCTCCGCGGGATTTGAACCCCCGACCTCTTGAATTAAAGTTTTATGTTTTTACTACTCTGCCATACCGGTTTTCAAAAAACAAGCCACCCATAAAGCGGATAACACACGCGGTTACGTAGCAGTATTCATAGTCGTCAGTAAGCAGACAAATACTGTATTAACCAATCAGAATCGAGACAAGGAAGAAAAGAAAAATTAATTATTATTTATTTCGTAAATTTGCTTTCTCCTCTCAACTCTGATTGGTTAATATGGTATTTGTCTGCTTACTGACGAGTATCAATACGCGGTTGTCTAAATACAGACCGCACTGCCACAAACGCATAGCAATAAATTGTCGTATAGAATTTGCATTAAAGCAGTACACAGATATTGAAGTTGAAAACTTTGTTGAGCACTAATTTATGCGAGTTAGGGGTGGCGTCCCTCATGCTTGAAGGACCGAATGCTTGCAATTAATTTAGCTTACTTTCAGCCAATCAGAATTAGGTATTCAAAATCTCAAAGTAAATCGCAAAAATCTCAAAGTAATAAAATAAATCCAGGCCATTAGTGTTAATATTGACCGATTAGATTATGAGCAGATGAGTTTTCAAGAGTGAAAAATTTGCTCATTTTACCTCATTAATTTTGATGATTATTTGAATAGTATTGCGGCTGTAACCCGCAATTTGTAATATTTTTGATTATTTTCCACTGATTTAACACATTTTCTGTTAATATTGACTTAGATTTTGTGAGAAAGGCATTTAGCCAATGGAAACGCTTCGCAATTTTGATGGGTTGAAATTTTTCAAGCATTCGGTTCCTCAAGCATGAGAACCCTCCCCCGAGTTAGGTAGGAAAAGTTAACTCGAAGGTTTACAATAACACAAAGGTTTGTTTGTGTCAACAAAAGAAAACGATGTGAGCTCCATTATTTTTCGCTTCTGATAAGGTTCTTTCAAAAAAGAACTGATAAAAAAGTATAAGATCCCTAATCAAATTAACAAGTTTTATATAACTTGAATATTTTTGAATTAAATAGCTCTTCAACCGAAGGTTGGTTTTTGTTCGATCTAAGAAATGGCTTGAGAGGTTTTAGATTGTTTGAAAACAGACATGGAACAATTTTTGAGACATCACGAGGCATAATTGAAAATGCGTTTGAAAGATTAAGAACCTGTTTTTATTGGTGAAATAAGAAACTACCTTTTTTGAGGTAGTTTTTGGGAAAAATCAAAGTTTCCAACAAACTGTCAGGAACAAAAACAAATTTGATTTTTTTCAAAAACTATAATCGTTAAATACAAAATTAAGTCTTAACCGTTTAGGATGGTAAAAGCTTCACATCATGTTATTTCGATTGAATCATTAACCTCAGAATTGACAGAGAAGTTTTTGAGAAAAGTCAAAATTCCAAAAAAAACGGTCAAAATTCAAAAAATTGATTTTTACGAAAAACAAAACCTTTTGTTCGAAAAGTGTTCGGGCATAGCCACTTATTCACCGAGGATACCCGCAACAGGGTTTCCCAATTGAAAGCTCAATCTATAAATTTACCGGTTAATTTTCGAGAAAAGTCGAAAAGTGTACAAAAACGGTGAAAATTTCAAAAATCGGACAACTTCTGAAGCTTAGTTTTGTCTTAAAAAAAGTAGGACAGTGTACAAAAACGGTGAAAAATTCAAAAATCGGACAACTTCTGAAGCTTAGTTTTGTCTTAAAAAAGTAGGACACCTGAAAATTTTTATAACTTGTTCCTTCGATAGAATACTTAATCTTAAATTTGGCTAGGGAAATTTAAGATGTCAAAATAATTCCAAAAAACACGCTCACAAAAATCGAAAAATTTGATTTTTCCAATAATAATGGAACGTTATTTGACTTTTTCTACAAAAGTTAGGTCGCACCCGTGTAGACAGCGAAAAAATTCATAGCTTGTTATAGACCTTCAAAGCCTAGGTCAAAGCGATACAAAGAAAGAACAACTTGAAAGAACAGAAATCATCTTTTTTCCAATTTTAGTTTTAAAAAACAACAAAATTGCCAGAAAAACTAAGCTTCTAACGAAAAAACACTTTGCCAAATCATACAAACACATATAAAGTATTGGCAAGTCAAAAACTAAATCGAACAACTTTTATATCAAACCATTAACAATCGTCGCTTTACAGTTACTATCTTCGAAATAACCCCGCGCTTCTTCAAGAATCACAAAAACCACAATTGTTCAGTTCACAGCGTCAAAAAACGCCATTCAGTTGGACTAATATGTATCTTTGACCATACTTAATTCATAGGTCGTGTCTTGGATTATCCAAATATAGTGACCAAAGTAATATTAGGGAATACAAGCTTCACTGAGAACTAAGAGTAACGAAATTACCTCGATTTTTCCAGAATTATTTTTGTTATAACCGTTCTTATTTTCATCCTCACAAATTATACTTAGCCATTCATAAACAATGAGGGGGTGCTTCATACTCAACAAGATGCCACATATGTGAATTTTTTGCTGAACATGTACGCAACTTAAAAGAAATAAAAGAACAAAGTATTTAAAAAAAAATCAACTCAGAAACCTTTTCATATTCAAATACTTAAAAAAAAACTCAAAATTCTTCCTTAACCGTTAGTGGCTTATTTTGATTCTAAAAAAACATACTGATAACTGCATAAAAAAATAACTTGGGAAAAATACTGACATTCAGGTTAAAAATTGAAAAAACACTGGTTTTGATTTGTATCTAACTTCATTACATTTTGAAACCTCGCAGACATCATAAAAAGTGTTAATGTTGTTCATAAAGAAAAATAAATTAGGCTAAAACAAGATCTAAGAAATCAAATTAAGAAACAAACATTGAACTATTTTAAGGCGAAGTTGATGACGAAAAGAACTTTCAATAACAGATAGACTAAAATATTCATAAATCAGTTATTTTCAACTGAATATACTCATAAGGCTCTTTTTAAAACACCGCACTTTAAAAAAGGCACCATTAAAAGTTTTTACAGAGCAGCTAAAAGTATTCCATTGAGCTTTACACTATTATGTTAGTTCACAACTATGGAAATAAAACCATGAATTGAAACATAACAACATCGGAAAACGACACACGGCAACGAAGCACACAGATCTTCACCATTGGCAAGTCGAAAAATAAAAACTTGATCCCAAAAAGATAAAAAGTTTGATCCCAAAAAGTAAACGGGGACAACTTTCAATAAAAAATTCCTAGCTCCTATTTATGTCATAGCATAAGCAACGCAGACTTTTTCTCATTTCTTTCACCTCACAGGATAACGAGTGACTTTAGACGGTTGAGAATGAAAACTAAATATGTTTGCCATGGCATAGTTAGTCCACATGCCAATATTCATACACAGAGGTGAAGCTGTGCTTCGCAAACACTTGCGAGAACGCGATCAAAAAGCAGCTCTATCAAGTGAAATAAAAAAAAACTAGAAATAAGTCTCGAATTTGCAAAAACTCGAGGCTTAGCAAAAACTCGAATGAGCAAAAATTTGCGACCTAGCACATTTGAGCCTCACGCACTAACCATTCAGCCACGGATGCTTAAAATCCCCAAAAACTAGCCACCAATAATGCAACTACATATGCTAATAAGTTGCCAATTCGATGCAGCAAAAGTAGCATCAAAAACAAAAAGATACAACTTTGCATGTAAAAAACTCCATAAAACCACATTATGTAATAGTTATGCATTTCAAAAATTTACTGCATTTCAGAGATATATTGAGTTAGAAAATTTCTGAAATCAAGATTTTATTATTGTTGATGTTTGAAACAAATAGCTTTCTTCGGTTCACTTGATGAAATTAAAATGCATCAACTGAGTAAACTTATAACAATTGGAATATCAAAACACATGTTATCAATAAGCTGTTAAGAGCAACTAAATATCAAAGGTGCAACAAAAAATCAAAATATTTTATTGCCTATTCGATACAGCAAATTCGACACAGCAAATATTGTTGTTTAAGTTGCTATTTGCAACTTAGGTTGGAAAAAAATAAAGTTCGAACTATAACACATTGCTTCGCAAGTTTAAATAATAGCGTTTACTTGTGTAAAAGTCCAAAGTTCAAAATTGAAACAGAGGCAAATCTGCACGTTGCAAAACGACAAAAGGAAGCTTGAACTGAGAGGCGAAGCGATACAAAACAACCCAACTAAATCGAAAAAAAATTCACACCAAGACAATAGAAGGTAAAAATAGAATCAGAAGCAAACTTGCAGGTAGGGAACACCCACACGAACTCAAATAAATAAGTTTAAATCAATCATAAAAAGTTTGCCATCTGCCAGAATGACCCACCGACCTATAGATTATAAGTCTAGCGTAGTCCCACCTCCCTCGTGTAAGCTTCAAATAGGTAAACACTAGCCACCAATAAAGCATATCGAACACATGTTGTAAAACAGCCAATGCTATGCTGC